GAGTTTTTTGGGTTCATTGAGAACATGGTTGTTGTTCAATAATAAAATTATTCCTCAAAAATACAACTTGCCTAATAATTCTGCACTCCCTGTATATGTTCTGCTTTGTTGCTATGGTGACCTGCTATCTCTGAATGGTACACGGTCTCCTTTTATTTAGAACGAGATTATTCAAGGTTTTCTCACTCGCTGAGCAGCGCTTTCAGGTGCAGCTGCAGGCTTCGGATGGAGGTGTGGAGGGTGTTGAGCTCTCGGCATTTCTCTCTGGCTCGCCCTGTCCTGTCGCAGCCTGTGGTCCTCGGCTGGGTCTCAAAGTGTCTGTGAAAGTCGAAGCTGCGCTGCACTTCGCCGAGACAGCTCGCCAGAGCGTGATGGAGGGGCTCGGTCACGGCGGAGATGGACCGGTAGAGCGGAGGAGGAAGAGGAAGAGGAGAGGAGGCGTCTTCTGTGGGTCTGATTTCCTCAGACTCCTCTACTCGGCTCGGAGAGAGGAGAAGGGCCAGCCGACGGAAACATTCGGAGCTTTGACCGACCCACAGCTGGAACAGCATCTGCATTAAGACAAGCCAATAAACCTGAGATAAATAGCTTCTTTCAGGCGTTCTTGCTTCGATATAACCAACACACTTCCTCTCTTTCTTCAGCACTGCTTCAGGCTTTTGAAAATCAAAAGCCAAAGTGAGGTCAGAGCATGAATAGACTTTCTTGTATCCTAGTTATTTATCGAGCTCTAAAAGGTTGAAGAAAATAAGCGATTTGGCTAAAAGTGTCCGAAAATGTGTCTGAAAATAAACAGGAAACAGAAAGTATATGGCAAAATTCATAATAACGACTGTTTTGGTTAACTGAAATCAGGATTATTTAACAGGGGGAGCAGAGATGTTATCAAAAATCAAAGATTTTTTGAATTTTAGAAAAAGAAACAGACGTCTTTAGGGGGGAAAAAAAAAAACTGTGCTTTTCCTGATTTTTGTGTTTTAATAATGAGTGGAAGCCAAAATTGTAAACGCAATGAGAATTTGATTAACTGCCTTTGACCCTTGGGCTTTACCTTCAAGGCAGGCAGGCTGTAGTCATCCGTAAGCTCCTGGGCCTGCTCGTCTCCCAGGTGTTCGATACCCAGGCCAAGCCCCAGCTCCTTCAGAGGCACCGCGGACACGTAGTTGGTCACATTATCGATCTCAGAGTTCAGAGGGAACGTTGATGGGCATTAAGGACAAGTGATAGAAGTGTGGAAAGTCTCTTTTGCATAAATACATAGAAGTTTATAAATTTCTCATTTTATATAGATCTGTGCGGATCTTTTCGAATAGTTTAAAGAGGTAGCCTTGACTGTCATCAAAGGAAGCTTTGGGATTTCCACCCACACCATCAAAGCCTCAACCTTCAAAGACAATCACATTTCCCTCAGATATGTGACCACGCTTTGATGACAACGATAAATTCAATTATGAGTGCAGTAAAGGACATTCAAATACTGAAGAGAAGAAACTGTCTAAATTCAAGCTCCTAAAAGCTTAAAAATCATGAAAATAAAGAATTCCCTGACAACAGCATCCACTCCCAGTTATCTCAGGTAAAGGATATGCCTTGAGCATGTGACAGGTGGCCCTGCGCGATGCCCTGAAGGCCGAACGCAGCGCCCGGTACAAGGCCTTCCTCAGTCCGATGAGCTGCTGGCCACGTAGCCCCGCCCCCGGCCCCGCCCTGCTAAAGGAGCTGGCCGCACTCACCCTGTCGAGCAAACTTGACAAGTGAAATGTGATACAACTGTGGAGACGTCCCAAAGAGGCAGGGGGGCAACACACAACACTGAACAACACATCACAGAAGACGAGACAAAGACACTGAGACGGGTTAGAAACGCTTTAGTGTCAGAAACAAGCAGGTGTGACAAGAACAGCTACGCAACTCAACACATCATCTTTTCTTAAGTGAATCAATACTTGAGTATTAATCCAAGCTAGCAGCATGTAAATAGCTGTCCAAAGATAACCAAATCCATCCTCCAGCAGCTTTTGTGTAAAAAAAGGTGGAGGCAAAAGAGGACCTCTGCAGGCCTGTTAGTCCTGGTTTATTGCAAAACACTACAATATAGTGATTAGAAGATGAAAATTAGAATATTTTACATATTTTAAACAAAGTTCTAGAAGCCGACGGACAACTTCAGGGAAAAAATAATTAGATAAACATATCACTTATATGGATGGGTTCAAAAATGACTCCACTTGGTCACTTAGGGGTTAAAAAAAGAAAACGCTCATCATCACTGACTCCAGTAAAATGTGGACACAGAGGAGTACACAGAGACATCAGAGGAAAACAATCAAGGCTGTGCATATATGTGTGCCCTTGTAATCCTCTGAAATGACTGTGTGTGATGGGATGCACTACCAGGAGCTCCACACTGTTCTTTCAACTTCCAAGCAGAAAAACCGAGCCGTTCAGAATAAAAGACCTGAAAAAGGGTGCTATCAGCAGGAAGCATCACTGATAAGTCAACCAAATGTCAGGCGCTGATAGTTTACAACTTGTTTTACAGTAAAATGTAGACTGTTCGAAGCGCTGTGAGTAATGTTACAATATTTGCATGTAGCATGTGAGCACATTTGTCAAATCAGCCATAGACATATATACACAAAGATGCCCTTTTATATTAAAAGAGTGCTTATATCTATGATTATTAGCTTCTAGCAGCTAAATAACCACCAGGCACAGTGAACTATGAATTTTTGCCAAAAGGCATTTTGTTTTATATTGTGATGCTGATTGTTTTCCCCTTGTTTATTGACTGTGACATACAGTGCATCATGCCTACAGACAGACAGAGACCACAGTAGGCTAAAAATCAACGATTTACCAAGATAAACACAGAGGATAACTAATGGTTAGGACACAGAATTAGTTTAGCATAAACAGTCAAATATGGGACAACATTCTGTAAATGCCCGCCTTAACTACACTGATCGGTTGATGTGTGGGTGGATGTAAAACAAGCACACTTACAGGGTGAAACCTCTGGAGATGACTTCAGTCTCCTGCACCAGACGCAGGGCTTTTCGGGACAGCCCCGTCAGGGTCTTGCCGTTGTGAACCAGAGTCTGGAGCTGGGTGGCCCTGGTGTGGACAGCTCTCTGCATACGGCCCTGTCTCCACAACGTGACCATCCTCAGTCCCACCCAGCCCAGCAGGGCCAAGCCCCACGGAGCTGCAGCCAGCGACCACAGGCCCCCAGACACGGAACAGAGCCCCAGCAGCACTGAGGCCAGGCCGACCAGCCCGGCCATGTCCCTGAGAGACGAGCACAGGGAGGAATTTTGACCCTGTCAACATTTATATGTACTGAGCCCGGATAAAAGGGCAACAATTTTACATGTCAGTGTTAGATTATTAGAGTTGGGGAGTACGTGGGAGTAAACGGCTGTGTAATGTCTTCTGTGGTTCTGGAGTCACATTAATTAAAGCTATAACGATCATGCACCACATCATCCTGTGTGTGATGCAATTTATATCTGCACTGGATTTTCTCCAGCATCAGCATTCATCAAACATTGTTAAATTCCTGTTTTTGAAGCTCTTTGATGTAAACCTCCCACTAAGATGCTGAATTTTCATGAATCATTAAAAATAATGAACACAGAGGTTCATTCTTGACCTCATAGAGACCTTTTCACTTAAAAGCTTTATGAAACATCAATTTTAGCCAAAAGAATTTTGAACTGTAAGAGCTTCATTGACAAACTAAGACTATTCACCTGTAAAACTTAATAATAGAGACTTTAAATGCAACCAGCTTTCTAAAGACAATAATCCTTATTTATTTTCTGTCAAACTTTAGTGCGGCCCCTCACTTCATCGACCACTTGAAACAACACTCCCCTTAAAGGCCACCTGCCATTTAAGCCAGTTTTCCTATGATTGAAGGTGGCGCTTCTGTGCCAATGAAAGCCTACAGAATAGCTAAGTTTCATATGATAAGAATTTTGGTCAAAAAATTTGACATTTAGTTTTGCAGAAGATATCCAATACCTTGGATGCAAAAAAAGTCATTCAATATTTGTGAAAGGGAGTTCTCGACTGTCTGTTTCAAAGTGGCGTACCATAGGGAGGGCTTGGCGATGAGGCTCGGTCTAGGTAAGGTGTTCGCTCTGCGAGGCGAGCCAGAGGGTGAGGAGCCGAGGGTGAGCAGACTCGGGTCTAAGAGCTCGATCAGCTCCACGTCCTCCTGCAGCAGCACGTCCTGGTCCAGAATGCACCTGACCGAGTACTGGCCGAACATGCAGTCCTGCAGAGGGCAAAAAAAAAAGTTTATTTAAAAAAAACAAAACAAAAACAAACAAAACAAAAAACACGAACTGTAGGCGCTGGTTTCAGTGCCAGTCTTCCTGCACCTACCAGCTTCTGGTCCAGCTTGCGAGATGCTGCCGCCTGGTGAAATGGGCTCCATCTCCATAAGGCCTCAGCCAGTCTCCATAAGCCCTGCATATTACACACAAGGGAAAGGTTTGGATCATTTAGGTCAGGATTCCATTCCAGCTTCATGCAATATTTTATCCCGCCAATAGTAAACAAAAGAATAAAAGTGAAATATCCCACTATGAATCACCTCTATGACTTTTTGTTTGCCAACATATTTATTACATTTTTAAAACAAAACAAACAACTGATAGAAAACCTCAATCAGGACAACAAAGTACACAGCTATTATAATGAAAAAAAGGCTATATTAATTTAAAAAACACAAGAAAAACATCAATAAACAATAAACAACCATTCTCTACTCTCCGATCCAAATACTTCCCTTCAAAAATTTCAAATTTAAGTGTGTCATTCAGTTCAGTGACTCAGATGCACTGGAAACCATTGACCTGCTGGATCACTGCTCTGCACCCACATGTCTTCAGACTGTTTTGGTTTGCTTCGAGTCCCAGAACGAGTGTGCAAACACACTTCCAAAAAAAAAAGGGAAAAAAAAGGAGTATCCCAGGAGACAAAGCCTTTCAGGCAACCACAATAAGTGCAATGTGTGTTTGTGAAACACCCACGAGTCTTTTATATCAGCACCAGGGCACGAAAGCCACACAACCGCTTCACTTTGATGAATTTCTAGTTTAGCGTTTACACTTTCTGCCTCAACAAGACTACCTTTTATCCCTTCAAAATGCAGGCCGGACAGAGGAAAAGGACGGGCTCCTTTGATTCCAGAAATATGAAAAGTTTGTACGCCCTTCATTCGACACAATGCAGACACACTTCTGTTTTATTTCTCGCTTCCTAGGAGCCTGGATTCCTAGCACAGTAAAATATACGATTAACTGAGACGGCGAGCCTCTGGCTTTTTGGTATGTTGTAACGTATTTTTTCATGTGCGGCTAAAACAACAAAAAAACAAATCCAACCCGTGTACTAGTCATGAATGGGATTTTCTTTTCACTAATCTGCTTAGTGTTGCTTAGTGGTATCAGTGAAATGCTTTGTTAAAAAAAACAGGACTCATTTTGAAAGACGTTTTCGGCCTGGAGGCTTTGGTTCTTGTTCTGCTAATGTTACAAAAAAATGAAGGCCAGCCTGGAGATTAGCGTGATAACATTATCTGAAGTCTGCATGTGCTCCAGTTTACAGCAGAAGCAGGGGGTTATTGATCCGACATGGGCAGCCAGGCCACTCTGACCCTTTTTCTCTGGGGATGAAAAGAAAAAAATCCAAAGTGTTATTAGTCTAAAGGCTGCGGTCGTATTGATTACTGATCAGAGAGTGAGTCTAACCCATCACCATGTGTGCTGCCAGTGTGGACCACAACTCTGTTCACTCTGGTGTGGAAAGTATAATGAACACCTGAAATACCTATGGCTTCTGCATTAACAGCAACATGTAGTTCTCAGGTTACAGTGCAGGGTTTTCAGCTACGATGTACCTGTGGTGCAGATTTAACACAGAAGCATAAATGCACTGTTGACTGTCTCCGTGGCTGTGAGTCAGCTGCCTCCAAACGTGCTGCGTTTGCAACTTCTTAAATATTCTCCAGACAAGCAACCTCCATATAACAGCGATTAAAAACACAAAACAAATTCTGAATATAGTAAAACCAAAACCAAAACTAAAGATTTCCAACAATATAAGAACAAAGCTGAAATGACCAATCTAACTGAAGGTCAACTCAAAGCAAGCCAAATGAAACTGAAAGAAAAGCTCATTTGAAAATGCAAAATTATAACAACTCTGGAAACACAGAAATAGATCAACCATTTAAACTGAGAAAATGTTTTTAAGAAGTTGGGACAGAGCTGTGTTTACCACTGTGCAGCATTCCCTCTTCTTTTAAAAACAGTCTGTAAACATCTGGGAACTAAAGAGAGCAGCTGCTGGATTTTTGGGGGAGGAATGTTGTCCTGTTCTTGTCTGATAGATGATTCTAGCTGCTCAACAATCCTGGGTCTTCTTCTGGGTATTTTTCCCTTCACGATGCTCCAGAAGATCTGGATTACAGGCAGACTAGTTCAGCACTGTGACGCTTCTACTATGATGCCATAGTGTTGTAACAGCTGCAGTATGTGGCTCAGCATTGTCTTGCTGAAATATGAAAGGCCTTCCATGAAACAGACTGGAACTTGGTGAACTTCTTTAATAAGAAACTCTGCCTTACTCAGATGCTCTTTCTCATTCCCAGCCATGTCACTGACCTGTTGCCAATGAACTGAATTATTTGCAAAATGTTCCTCAAGCTGTTTCTTTTTAGTACAACTTCCTTTTCTAGCCTTTTGTTGCCCCCATCTCAACATTTTGACACATGTTGCTGTCATCAAAATTTTAAATTACTTTATTTTTCCTAAAATGTTCAATTTTCAAGGTTTAAACATTAGATGTGCTATCAATGTTCTACTGTGAATAAAAAAGGCTTTATGAGATTTTACAGCACCCAACTTTTTTAGAACTGGGGTTGTATTTGGACCTATAATTAAAGTAAGGAAGCACAGTAAAGCAGTAGCTGAGAGGGAAGCATTATTCATTCATCAGTAGTGTAACTTCGGGAATAATGCCACCTCAAAAACCAAATAAACAAACAGCTTATTTTTCAGAATCTTTAAACACGCTGTGCGTTTACCCCGTGTTAGGGTCAGGATTTTACTGTAATGAGATCTGTCTATGTGGTCGAATCGTTTTTGCTTGAGCTCCAGCTTTATCTGGACTCCAGGAAACGGATCACGGTGGAACAACCAAAAAGCTTTCCTGCCTGATCTGAGTCCCTCATCCTCCTTGACTCCTTAGAACAACAGTGCACAGCAGGGAGGAAGCATGACACATACGGAAAGTTCCTGAACACCATTTCCCATTTCAGGAGGAGGGGAGGCCGAGTCATGTTGTCCTGAGCTTCCCATCCTCAGACTGAATCACAGGCCGCTTCAAACCGCAGACGTTTACGGTTAGCATGATGAAAGTACCATTAAAAATTCAGGAGTTTAAATCTTTTAATTGCAGGGGAAAAAAAGCATGTAGCACACATGTGATCATCAGCACACACACACAGGCTGTAAACGGACGCTCACAGAGGCAGGAATTACGTCAGGCGGAAAGCAGCATGTCGGTAATCGTATTCAGGCGTTCTCTTCTGAGAATCAGAGCAGCAGCAGGGAGAGAAAAATATGCCTGAATCAGTGTGCAGAAAGCCCTGCTCTCAATGTCTGTCCAAAGTGAAACATATAAACACAACTCACGCAACCGCTGTCTGTGGACGACTGCATGTCAATGTGTGTGAGGAGTCAATATCCAGATCAATTACTTTCTGCCTGACTGCACAATTGTGCACACATGCTGCCCACTCAGGGCTGCAGAAAACATGGTTAGAGCAATAACCTAACCTGGTGAGGGCTTGTTTGACAATGAAGAAGATGTTTTATATGACCTAAAACTTAATGTGCAGCCTATCTGAGCTCTAACAGAGAGCTGGTGTCAGAAACTGATCCACGTAAAGCACGCTGCAGTGTTTGGCTCGTAACATGTTCTGAAGGGGCAAACAGATTTTTCTCAGTATTTCTTTTTCGGCTCCATTGTTATTAATGTTAATAAGGATATTGTTAAATCTTATTGCTATTGCTATTTTTTCAGTAATTACAGGCAAATAAATGGACAGGTTCCACCATCTGAACAGTTTATATCTAATAAAAAAAGTAACCTTTTAATACCTTAAAGATCTTAACTTTTTTCTCATTTTTCACTATTTTCAGACACTTTATAGACCAATGAATAAATGAAATGATCCAAAAATAAAACAAGAAATATTATTGTTATTATTCATTTATGTAACAGATTTAATATATATGTAATTTCTTGTGTTTTATGTAATGTATTTTCTTTCTATGGATCATGATTATGCAATAAAGATTAACTGACTGTAAGGTCGGAGCTGGATGTCAAGCAGTCTCTTGCTTATAAATTTATTTTAAGCTGAATCTGTGTTCCATTCACTCAACCGTGTAACAAATTTTTGTTTAACAAATGGCCAGAAGTGAGATTACAAAAGCACAGACAACTGTTAATTTGTGCATTTATTTCATTTTCAGACATTTTATAGACCAATCAACCAGGTAAATAATCCACAAAAAAGAAATTAAGAATTATTCCTAAACTCAAATATCCTATTTTAAAACTAACTTAACATTGGATTTTAGTCTGACTTTAAGATTTTTTCCACAGAGGAATAACGCAAAACTGTTTTTTATACATTTTAAACAAACTAATTATGTTCTTCAGCTAACAAACACATTGCTTCAAAGATCCCTGTGGTTTTTCCCCCACCCTTTTTGAAGAACGAATAACTGCTTTTATGTTCTTTGTCACTCATGGATAGTGTTTTGTTAATAACAAGTTCTATCTACAAAGCCTTTTATTGTATTTTAAGATCATGTCTTTGTCTGGTTTGTGTGTCACTTGGGAGCAATGTGTTAGAAGTTGGATTTAGATCAAGTGGTTGGTAGTGTGTCGTTTCTGGGAGAGGATGTGGGGAACTCACTGAGGTTTTCTGTGGGTCTCCACCGGGAGAGGTGAGGTCTCCCTCTTGCTCGCCATATTCCTCCTCCTGTGATGCTGTCGGACATGCCTCAAAGTCTGTGTGCCCTAGATCCTGCAGATACTGGAAAAGAGGAGAATTCTGCAAAGAGAGAAAGAAAGAGACCGGTTAAGGAGGAGGGGGGAAATTGCATAAAACAGAGCCGGACGGATGAAGACTGGGAGAAGGAGAGGAAATGTGATGATTAGATTAATCAACTGGATTCAGGGTGATCTGACACTCATCCCGATTTTTGTCCCAGTTTGTCTTGCCGTGAATAAAAAGACGAGGGAAAGGCAGAGACTTTCCCTCAGCTGAGTCTCCACCCTCTCTCCCATGCACCTTCTTCTCTACTCTGGGAGGATGTGAATCTGGAAACCATCTCACACTCACACAGATGTCAGCAGGCACCTAGTTCTTCTCTCCTCAAGTCTAAGCACAAGGTGTCATGTTATAATCCTTTCCTGTCAGAGAGGTATAAACAGAGGTATTGCTGCCTGCTTTAAGAAAGCTCAGAAGCAAATCAGCCATGCAGAAAGCAGAAAAATATCCCCCTGCTAAAATTTTCCCAAACGATGTCTGACCCAGTTCTCCCCAGCTGCTCCTCTGCTGCAGCTCTGATAAGCCAACATAAAAACGCATATAGCACCAGCCTGCACAGACGGTTAAACAAATATTAACTGCCACTCACATGCATGGTCACACGAAGTCGCAGCTCATGTTGTCATCATCCTGGATGCAGAGGTGTGTGTGTCATTTTTCAGAACCGACGCATTGGACGTGGTCATCCCCACCCCACCTCTTAGTAGTGATGAAACACCAACAAACAATGCGCACAACTAGCCCGGCTCAGCCCCTTCTCATGACCATCAAAGCTCCTTGGCAGGAACACGGTTAAGCAGCCAGCCAAATATGTGGAAATGCTTAGGATTGGCAGTGCATGGCAACGGGGCAAACGGCAGGACTGATAGCTAGCTCGGCTAGCTAATGAACTGGGCTCGTAGCTCCTATATTTAGTACAGAACTCGAGCGGTATGACAAAGCATCGGTTGCAAGTTTTGCTAATAAACAGGGGTGGTAATACGTACCTCAAACACCACATCTTCATCAAACTCCTCAGTCATTGCTCTCCGCCATCAACACGCAGCCCGTTTAGCATTCTGAAGTTGTAGGCAACAGTAATCAGGGTAGGAGCAGCGGCTGAGAAGTTAGTTGTTAGCCGGTTGCTAAAGCTCGCCTACAACTTCCATAATGCCTCTGTGTCTTCCAAACGCCGAAAACGAACGTTCGGCTCGATACGCTTTAGAGAGCCTCAGGTGGTCACGAGCGGTAGTGTGGTTTCCCATCCGTTAATGCAAGGGGGCACAGGAGAGTGAAGTTTTCGAAAATTAGCGCGCAAAAAAACGGAAGTTATCTTCAAAATAAAATGCTTCATGTTTTTAACACTGTAGAGTGCTAAGATTTTAAGTAAAACAACTGCAATTGCGATATATTTCAATGGACTCGTATGTTTGAAGACAATGTGCTAACATACACGCTTTACTTCACAATTTAATTTTCTATACGTCTTCTTTGAAATGTAATGTATTTTGTAAATTAGGACCGGAAATCTGTTGTTTGCTATGTCCAATTTTAGATTTACACAGTTGGAGGAAAAGCACCGTGGCTGAAAACTTGGAAAAATGGGAAAAGTAGCAGGCGTTAAGACTTTATCCGCGCATCCGCTGGCGAGATAAGGAACCACAGAGATGTATCTGCATGTTTCACCCACGGAGCGGATTTCACGCTGACAATAATGTCGAAGGAGGAAAAAACGCAGATTTCCTCGCAATTCCATTGAAAGTAAATTTACTCATGGAGAGAGGAGCAAGTCGGGAGTCATGAGCACAGGTTTGTGTCGTGGGGGAGCTGAAAAAAATCTGCTTTGCAAGCGTATTTTGTGGCAATAAAAGTACATGTAATGTCTTTTAGTTTTATTCGTGATACTTTTTCAGATAGAAATGGTCAATTTCCACGCTGTAGCTGTCGGTAGCACCACTCTATTTTTATCCAGCCAGAGTTAATTACAGTTTTTCTTAATAACAGCTTCCAAAAAGACATAAAAGTGAACTGTTCCGACCTCAGTTTGAGTGCTTTGTAAAAACTCAGTGGAAAAACAGCAGTTTCTTTTTGTTATCTAAACCTCTGTTGCAGCTGGAGGGGGTTAAATCCTTTGTCTCAAAACATCTGTCCTGCTGTTCCTGAAACATGTCGGACTTAATATCAAGCTGCAGCCCAAACATTTCACGAAAAGCAGCAAACATGTCTCTGGATGAAAGTCTTTTCATTTTATTTGGGGGTTATACTTTTTAAACGTTTTAATAAATATGCCCGGCGTTGCCTTATAGAACTAAACATAACACCAGATTCCGTTTTAAAACATGCGAATTTAAAGTTGCTTCTTTAATAAATATGGTTGTGTGTCTTCCAGAGTGTAGTTTATGACTTTACATGCTGTTGTTGCATACGCTGACAGATTCGGCTCATAGATAAAACAGAAAGAAACAATAAAATTAAAAGTTGTGTATCCACACTCTTCTTACCAACACCGCCATCCATCGTGGGGTTTTTCTTAAGTTTGGGTGAAGCACTTCGCAAAGTGTACGCTTACTAACGTGAAGTGTGCGCCGAATTGAAGGGTGGTTCTCGGTGATCAGGAAAAAAATCAATCACTATTTATTAGTAGTTATTACTGGTTGCAGTCACAGTGAATTAATGTTTTGCGATGTTTTTGAAGGGAATTTGGTTGGAGTCAGGCTTTCAGCTGCAACCGGAGAGCGGTTTTCGATCGTTGGCCTTTTCCGAAACATCCGCTCGATGACTCGACTTCTCGTGGTGTCGGCCAGCCAACAGTTTGAACCAATAGAGTGGAAAATATAGCCTACAATCCGAAACCAGGGTTTTTTTTTTTAAATTAACGACTATACTTTTTTTTTTTTCTATTTTAACCTTTATTTAATCAGATTATTTCCTAATAGGATTAGGAATGCTAAGCAAGGATTTTTTTCAGGAAAACAAACTGTCATGAAGAAGAATAGGAAATGCTCTTGAGTGCACAGGTCTATCGACAAATAAGAATAAACTGTGACTTATTTAAGGACAAATTGGACCAAGAAGAGATAATACAGTAAACGCCAAGGTTATTATAGTGAACTGATACAACATTAAACAACAACACTGAACATTTTCAATCAGAAATATAAACTGAACTGATAGAGAAATAAATAAAAGATTTCAGAATTATCAGAAAATGCAAACTATGCAAAGAAATCTGGTCCAGCCATACCAAATATGTCAGAAATTAAGCATGTTTGAATCAAATAATCTAGATTTGCTGCCACCTTCAAACATTAGATACGTCAGTTCACACTCATGAGTAAATACTTTGTTATAACGGGGAAGATGGTGCAAAATAGTTGAAAATTACTCATTTCCTATCTTCGCCCTGTCAGTGACTTTGTGACCTGAGCTTGCCTGTGCTTACATTAGAGGAGGCATGGCTTTTGTGTCTGACACTCCCTCTCTTTCTAACACACAGGTGTAAAGAAGCCTCCATTAGCTCCCAAACCTAAACTCCCCGTCACTACCAAACCTTCACCCCCGCCCGTCGCTCCCAAACCGGGACTCATTTGCCAGCCTTTGGCGGTCTCCCAGCCCTCCCCTTCCACTCTGAAGAGGGCAAAACCGGCTGTTGCCCCCAAACCATGCATCCCCAAATACTCTGTTGCCTCTTCTCCCCTGGTTTCACCCCCGCCGCCACCCAAGCCTGCTGAACTGCTTATCCCATCTCAGGAACAGCAGGAGGCTTTTGATGATGGCCTCAATCTTCTCAACTCCAAAAACGGGATATTATCTGAGGCTAGCAGACGTGAATCGGATTACATCATTCCCACCTGCTCCTGTGGGCTCCGGGACTGTGCACAGTGTCAGCCCCTGGAAAATGGGAGCACATCTGAGGCTGGGGGACATTCACACAAAGAGCTGTTAGAGAATGGTGTTTCCAAAGAGGGGTTCGTGGGGTCAAAGCCACGAAAGGGTGGAGAAAATCAAGAGGAAGATAAGGGTGAAAGTGTGCAGATTAGCAAAAAGCCCAGGGGTAAACCTCAGAGACAGAAACACCTTGATAGGGGACCGGTAAGCAAGGAGGTACAGAGGACTAAGGAGCAGGAAGTAACTTTAAAAAATCAAGAAAGCCCTGCTGCTGAGCTCGATGTCTCTAAAGTATCGACGGAGGCCCAAAACACACACTTGAAGTCAGCCTGTGATGTCATAGGTGGCATCATTGTCTTCTCAAGCATCTCTCCTCTTGAATTGCCTACAGAGTACTCTGAAAGCAGCAACACTGTCAGCAGAGTGTCTCCTACCCAGTCACACCCTGATCTGCAGGTCCCCGCTGCTCCTAGCAAGCCTCTCCCAGTCCCTCAGCCTCGTAAACTTAAAAAGCCGGCCTTGGTGAGGCAGGATGGTCTGGAGGGTGGTGCTCAGGAGCAGTTTGTGGAGGAGCAGAAACAAAGAACTGAGATGAAGGAAGCTGAGGGGAAACTAGCTGCTCTGTCTCTCAGTACAGAGAGCGAGGAGCTCAAACCGGATGCGTGTGATGACAGTTCACCCCCAAAAGACTCAGGTTTAGGAGACGATGAGGCTGACGCGCCTGTCCCGCCTCCTCGGCAAACCTCTCTGTCACCTCATCTCCACAGGTCATTTCGCATAAACCCCAATCTTAACAAAAACAACTCCCACTCCTTAGACCTACTCTCACAGCCCGACTCTGTCAGCCACAGTAAAGAGGGTGAGGCGCGCCGGGCCGAGGAAGATGAGGAGGATGGGTACGGCGACTTTGAGCGGTACCCCATCAGTCATAGCCTCCCTAAACAGATCAAACTCAGCTGTCACCCTCCTCTGGCGAACGACAGGAAAGCCTTCTCCGCTGAGGAGGAACAGTCGCCGAGGGCACCGCCAAGAAAACCGCAGAGACACAGCCTGCCCGCACCTCCTCCACCCTCCATCTGCCCTCCTGCACCTCCACATGCTAACACCCCAATGAGGGAGCTGCCCGCTCCTCCTCAGGAGAAAACAAGCTGGCGCTTCTCGCGACCCTACGTGACCTTCTTCAGCCGACAGATCCCCACCAGGAGCAGCGTGCCGCCTAAGAGTCGAGCCCCGGTGCTGGGGTGCAAGCAGAGGGCGCAGTCTTTCTCTGCAGCTGACCTGGCAACCCGGGCCAACTCTCCAAAGAGGAGCCTCTCTTTCCGGAAGCTGCTGGAACTCCGGCTGTCAGTGAAGATGCTGCCAAAGCTGCTTGCCAAGGGAGGGCAGTCCCTGGACTGCACCAGCGTCGAGTCAAACCGGGGCAAGAGGAGCCTGGAGAGGCCCAGTAGCTGCATAGGGGAGGCTGATATTTGCGGAGAAGGCATAGAAGGCTTGGCGGAGTATGAGAACGTCCCGCTCTATGAGGAAATCCCGGAATACATGAATCTGCCGTTTCACAGTGCCAGGCTGGGCTGGCCTCATGACCCAGATGCAGCTGATGCAGACATCTACGAGGTGCAGGATCCATACCACAGATGTCAGGAACATGAGTATGAGAGGTACGCTGCTTTGTTAATCAATTTTTTCTCAGCTATTTGAGTTGATAGAAGCAGTTTAAGAGAGAGTCAGAAAGGTGGAGGGAGAAGGAGTCGGGGTGGTGACACAGTTGTTTTTCTGTTTATCTTTTTATCTCTTGTATACTGATTTTGTTGATAGCCAATCACTGCTGCCAATCTCAGTCTGCATGCTCTTTAAAAAGATTTTTTAAATCTCAAGAGTCAGATTTTCCTGGTTCACTGGAGTTTAGGGATCAAACCCAAGCCACTGCAGAGGACTCGGACTCAGTACACACTCTAACAAGTGAGCCTCATGACCGTTTATTTCTGATTCTGGTCATTTGGGGGATTTATTTT